GATAGTGCCTCCGAGGTGGAAGTATTAGGAATACCCTCGGTGACGGGGGCAGAGTCGAGGACATGTCCTGTGTCAAGCTCCATTTTCATAACTATTTGTGATCATGCGTCATTTCCATGCTGGTCAAGCAGTTCAGGAACTAGTTAGGTGAGCCCAAAGATTTGCTTTGCAAGTGAGCCAGCCACATTAATGTAGGCGCCTAGTCATGAGACAGCTGAGACCTGTAGACCCAACCGCATTGCTTTAGCGGTAGTAGCAGTGGGACCAGCATGACCCTATGAAAGCTCCAGTCCTGGGGAGCAGGGGTTCTAGCCCAGCCTACGGGAAAGTCTAGGTACATCATTCAAGCAAAGGGGGACGGTCACAGGCAGCTGGCCCTCCCTTCTCCAAGATCTCACAGATTCAAGTGGGTGAGATCACAGTGGGTGGGACAAAGATGATCTCAGGATACAGGCTGAAGTTGGCTGTTTCTGCCTAGTCTCACCTTTAACTGTTTATTGCCTGGACACTGGCAAGAGTTTTTCTGATCCTGGTGTTAAAACGAGATCCAAAAATCCATGTGGAACCCAACATCTCTATGTTATCATTTGCAAAGAAATATGCCTAGATTTGATCATTCTAAAATAATTTGGGGGGATAGTTCAGCGGGTAGGACATGCAGCCTGGCATGCAGCTGACACAGGTTTGATTCCCAGCATCCCATACGGTTCCCTCACCTACCGTCAGGAGTGATTCTTGAATGCAGAGCCAGGCATAACCCCTGAACGTCACCAGGTGTGAACTCCTCCCCTCAAAAAAAAAAAAAGACTAAATAAATGTTTTTTTCAAAACAATGGTAGCCAGCTGGAGGTGTGGAACTAAGTGCGGCCCCGGAGTCACTCAGAACGTAGCATCCCAGCTGACTTTTCAGTGAGGGTTGGAGCGGCCATGGGTGACTCACAGGGAGCTGTGTTCATGATTCTCTCCTCCCTTTATATAGAACTCAAGGGCTGTTTGTAATGGACACAAAGGTCACACCATCCCATTTTCCCTGGAGGAAAACAATGACAAAGTAAGGGGTGTGCTGGTGAGTGGCTGTGTGTGTGCTTGAGTGAGTGTGTGGTGAGGAGGCGGGCCACAGCCTGTAGATGAGCCAGTGTCTTCTCTAAGAATTGCCTGTCTCAAATGATATTCTCTGATTGGGTGGCAGCTGGATCCTGGTGGAGGATTGCCTTTTATGAGAGGGCTGGGCATCACTGAGAGAGACCAGGCTCTGCCTGTCAGGGGCTCTCGGGCCAGAGTCAGGAAGCCTGGCTGGCACTCACATCTGAAGATGAATGGCCTGGCCCAGTCCCGACTGGAGACTCATCTGTCTTATCTCCACTGTTACAGTGTAGGTTCAGAGTGGACTTCTGGGCGTTTCTTGTCCTGGTCTGGTCCTGAGAGCTGCCGACAGGTGTGTCTGATGGGACTAGCATAGGGAGACAGGCCAGGAAAGCAATTCAAATATACCCAGGTAGGAAAAACTTCACCCTGAAAGCGGGCAAGAGAAAGGAAGGTAAATGAATGTTGCCACGGGATGAATTGATAGAATTTTATGCTATTGCTTCAGAATTATTTAGAAAGATTTTATAGTTTTGGGAGTGACTTTATCATTCAGTAGAGTAAATATCTATAAAACTTCAATTAAATGGTGTCTAAAATCTAAAGCAGCAGTCTATGAAGCGCCAACATTTCTTTTTTTAAAAAGAAAAAATATTTATGGTAACATCTAGCATTTAAAAGTTCACGGGAACTAGGCTTGATTCTGTTTAATATTTTATATAATTGGACATCTTAAATCAATAATGTTTCTATTTTATAGCAATTCTGTGTTTATTCAAAACCATAATTCTACTGTGATGTTAATGGAATGACTTTATATGGCTTTAATTGTGTTGGATTAAGTGCTAATGATCACATTTCAAATTCAAGTAGTATTTTGTTGATAGCGCTAGATACAGATCTGAAATATGAACAAATAGGTAATTTTACTGATTGTAAACTATTTCAAGAAAAACAATGTTCCTTTTTCTAGGGTTGTGGAAAAAAAACTAATTTTTTCAAGGGTTTAAGACAGTTTTCTGCATTTTCGGGGATTGGAACTTGTGCCTATGGAAATTTTGGAGCAGCCTAAGCTATCTTTTAGCTTGATATGTGTGCTAGAAATTTTTCATTATCTTGTTTTGTGATATGTAATAAATTCAGGGTGCTGTGCTTAAGCTTTGTTTCAATTCAAGTTTGGGAACATCTGTTTCCCTCGTTCCCAACCCTGGCAGAACCCCTATTCCCTACCATCCCCCAGCCCCACCCTCCCGTCTTTCCCGGACCCCATATGGAAGAGTAATATCAGTCCCTGACTCTGAGAAGATATGCTTTCTCTCTGCTGGGAGGAAACAAATTATAATCATGATTTCTAAACCTCTGCTTCTGTGTCTGGGAAGAGCGATGCTTTCTCTCCTCCTTCGATGTCTCTTTAATAAATACGTTGTCATTCTTTGCCTTTGAAAGTGGCTTTCCCGGCCCACGTCTCGACCTTCTCCATGATTTATGTTGCCAACAAATTCTCTGTCCCGTGTCTGTTCACTGCACTCTCCTGATCTTGTGTATCATTGAAGACATGCTTGAGACGGTTCTTGTTTTTATTATGCAATTATGTCTTATGTGTATTTCAGTGAAATGTCAACCCGTCAACAGAGGATGATGTTAAAAATTATCCAAATAAATAGTTTTCTATTTCTTCTAATCAGACCTAGTGCACTCAGTTGAATGGCAGTACACAGAGTTCTGTGTTGTTCCTTAAATTCAGGATTCTTCCTTGCTGGTGCCAACTTCCCTGTCTGTGGGTTCATGGACAGAGTTTACTAAGGGGTGTTGACGTAGTACATTGTTCCCCCAGGTTTGTAGCATGGAAACAGTAGCAGGTGTCTCAAACGCGGTCCCTTGTTGGGAACCTTGGCTATGTCAATGGCTTTTCTTCCCAGGGAGCCATCATCAGACAACACACCGCCCCCCACCCTCACTCAGCTCTCTTCCCTCCCTAGAGCTCGCTGCCTGAATGAACGCAGGCCCTTTCGTGCTGCTGGCCTGCACTTGCCTGCGCTTGCCTGCAGCTCTGCAGGGGAAGAGCTTTTCCTCACTTCACTTTGGAGGCACCTCCCTGCCGTTGCCATGAGAATGGCAAGTGGATCAGCCTCCAGGCCTCGTGACGACCCCCGAGGCGCTGGTTGTGGGGCTGCAGAGAGAGGGGGTGTACATGTGTGCGTGTGTATGTGTGTGTGTGTGTGTGTGTGTGTGTGTGTGTACCTGTGTGAGCACAGGGGCAGGCAAGCCAAGGACCTTCTTCTCTGACTATACCACAGATGTCATGGGCTCTGCCCTAGGGCACACAGAGCACAGCATGGCTAGCCTGGAGCTTTGGCGCTTGTTCTGCAGGGGCAGGCCTCAGTCCCCTTGCCCTCCCCACCCACACAATTCATGAGAACAAAGACCTGCTGTTTTCCCCTCCCTCCCCTTACACCCAGCCTGGCAGGCCACCCCCCCTCCCCGCCCCCAGTTCCCTCTTGGCCTGGGTGCTTTTAGGGATGAGCTTGGTTCACGAGTACCCATTGGGGAGCTCCCTTGTGACTTGATGGCAAGAACTCATATCCTCCCCATGGGGTTATCAGATGGCTACTTCTGGGTGATGCCAGGCCAGTGGGGCATGGATCCCACCATCCTTTTCCTTCCGTGCAAATGTCAGGGTGGCCTCAAGCATGGTTCTTACACTGTGTTCTGTGTCCACCCACTGCAGAGGCTGTGGAGGAAGGATGGGGTAGTGATTCACCCTCCCCCCCACCCAGGCCCTCTCTCCTGCTTGGCCCAGCTCTCTCCTGCAGACCACCCAGATGGATGCATATCAGTTGTTCATGGAGTCCTGCCCAGCCCAGGGCTAAGACCTCTGCCAAGTCTTCAGACAGCTGCCAACCTGCAGATAGACTGCCAGCAAGTGGGGAGGTGCCACCGCCCTCCCACCCTCCACCCTACCCTCAACCGGGGATAGGGAGCTTTAGAGTAAGAGGCATGCCTCTTTAGAGTAAGAGAAATGCCTCTTTCAGATGCAAAGCCTTGAGTGGAAAAAGATAAAGGCCATGTCCCTTCTCTCTGAGGACATGGCAGTCACCCTCTCTTCAGAGCTGACATTCCTCAGTGCTGTCTCTCAGCACTTCCAGTGCTGCCCTGATGAAGTCAGAAACCACAGGATCTTTCTCCCAGGCTGTCCCAAGGGAGCCCCTGGAGGAGAGTCAATTGGATTCGTCTTGGGGCTAGGGAGATGCTCGGCCAGGACCCCAAGCTGCCTCCAGCAGCTGGTGTGTGTGTGTGTGTGTGTGTGTGTGTGTGTGTGTGTGTGTGTGTTTCTTTCCTGAGGGGACGCGGACTGAGCACGGGGCCACAGCCCACGGTGGCACGGGGGTCCAGAGAGGCTGGCCCTGCACAGCGGCAGGTCTGTGTGCGAGTCCACCCATTCCGTCACATCCTGCGTGTGCTGCTGTTTGAGGTGTATGATGTCACTCACTCACCCCCTTGGCTTTGAGTGTAGCCAGTGGCTTGGGCAGCCGCATGACCTGGCTGCCTTCTGGTGCCTGCCCCTGCCTGTGTGTCCCCCACCGTCTGGTAGGACAGTCCCCAGATGCACTCCGCCTCATCCCCAGCTCTGGCCGTGGCACTTGACCTGTCTTCCTTCAGTCACTAAGATGTATGCCTTGGCCCAGCCTAGAAACCGGGCCCTGTTCCCCGCAGGGTGGGCTGGGGGCAGACCTCAGGCATCCCCACCAAGGAGCCTTTGGGGCTGAGGCGCCCCTGGAACTCCCTTCAGAACCGGCTCAGACCCCACCCTTGCTCTCGGACACCTCTCCCCATCTCATGGCAGAATCAGCAGGCTCCAGGCCCAGCGCCGCCGTGCCCGGCTTGTCTAATCTGTTTTGCCATTTTCCTTGATCTAGGCGGGACTCAGGACGCTTCACGACATTGGGCCTGAAATCCGACGGGCTATCTCATGCGATTTGCAAGATGATGAGCCTGAGGAAACAAAAGGAGAGGAGGAAGAAGATGTGTTCAAAGTAATTATTCCACACCTAGCTACACATCGACCGCTGGGAGATCAGCAGGCAGTGGGGGCGGTCGAGGAGCCGTACCTGAGTGCAGAGGAGATAGCACAGCTCCAGGGTCTAGAGGGGCATCAAGACCCCCGCAGCCACTCCCTCCTCACCAGCACATGTTCGGGGATCAGGCCTGCTCTTGCCTTGAGCTTGCCCCTCAGCCCCAGCACGGCAGCTTCGGACAAACTCGACCATAGCCACTGGTCGGTGTGGATGACCAACCTGGGTCCTACTAGCAGCTGCCTGCCCAGATCTCTAGCCAGCCTACACTCTCCTCTTGGGCCCCCCAAAACAGAGAGCATCCCTTCTGCCATCCTCAGTGGCTTGGGCTGCCAACCAACCTACTGGGTCATCATTTCAACTTAGAGCAACTAGACGAGCACTCTAGAGTGAGAGCCAAGAGCTGGTTCCTGGCTCTGGAGCCAGCGACCTTCCTCGTTGCCAGGGGGACACACACTCAGTACCCACCCCACCTCCCCATCACTGAGACACTCAGAGTGTTTTACAGGGAGCCTGCAGAGTGTATCTAGAATTTGTTTTTCGTGTAGAAAAAAAAAATTACCTAACATAGCTAGCCTGCATCAAATACCTTGTTAAATTACCTGGTGTTGTCTCCCATTATTTTGCAGAGAAATGGTGCCCTGCTTGGAAACCATGTCAATCATGTTAATAGTGATAGGAGAGATTCCCTTCAGCAGACCAATACCACCCACCGTCCCCTGCATGTCCAAAGGCCTTCAGTTCCACCTGCAAGTGATACTGAGAAACCGCTGTTTCCTCCAGCAGGAAATTCGGTGTGTCATAGCCATCATAACCATAATTCCATAGGAAAGCAAGTTCCCAGCTCAACCAATGCCAATCTCAATAATGCCAATATGTCCAAAGCTGCCCCTGGAAAGCGGCCCAGCCTTGGGAACCTTGAGCATGTATCTGAAAATGGGCATCATTCTTCCCACAAGCATGACCGTGAGCCTCAGAGAAGGTCCAGTATTAAAAGGTAACCTTGAAAGCATGTGTGTGTGCTGAGGACTGTAGTGTGTGCCCTGGCGAAGGTGGGGCGGGGGGAGCTACAGATATCTGTGTCTGTTACCCTGGCACCTACAGGAGAATCTCCTTAGGCATCTCCGTAGGCCTAATAATCAAAACCTGGAGAGGTCATGGCCTCTTTGGGTACCGTTTTATGCCCTGTGCTAGGGAACATCCCTTTCTGGAATAGCATCAATGTGCCCTTGACCCTCCCAAGTTACAGGTTTGGCAGACTAGAAAGAGCCAGGAAGTGACTGTCTCAGGCTCAGAGCTCTGTACTGTCTCCACTGCTGCAACTCTATCCTGTGAGGCAGTGAAGGCAGTCAAGATAACACAGAACTGGGGCCGGAATGATAGTACAGCAGGTAGGGTGTTTGCCTTGCACTTGGCTGAATCCTCAGCATCCCATATGGTCTCCTGAGTACTGTCCTGAGCATTGCCAGGTGTGACCCCCAAATAAAACAAACAAAAAGTATGATAGAGAACATCTGTGTCTCCCAGTCCCGCTTTCTGATGGATGTGGGCATGTGAACCTCTTTGATATACACGGGAAGTTTTGCTTCTTTTCATTTTTCTTTTCAGTTCTCTAAAAAAATTATAAAAAGAAAAACTTTTTCTGATGGGCCATCAGCAGAAGGTGGCAGGCTATGTTTGGCCAGGAGGGCACCACTCGTTGGCTAATCCCTGCTCTCGGAAGTGGCCTGTTACTGCACTTAAGACATTGTTGAGCCTATTTAACTCTTCTCTCCTCCCTTTGTGCCTTTCCTGGACAGAACCCGCTATTACGAAACGTACATTAGGTATGTGCTCCCTGTCTGTCACCATGCTCGAAGGTTCCCGCTGGTCCCTCTGAAACCCATCAGAGAAATGCAGTGTATTTGGTGCATGTTTGTGGGTGCCCAGCCACGCTTTGGGAGACAGGGCGGTCAACCTCCCCGTTCAACTCGATCCAGTGACACAGGAGCTACTTGAGCTGGAGGAGGGCACAGCAGAGGAGGAACTGGGATAACACACAAGCCTGTCTCTGCAGACAGATGGCAGAGCCTGGCTGGATTTCTTGAGGACTGGAGCCAGAGCAATGGGGGTGTCAAGGGCTCATGATGAACAGACCTGGGGTGGCCAGGCAGTCTTTGTAAATCTGGTGGACATGTCCAGGAGTCTCTCCTGGTACCTGTATTCAAAACTCCCATCACCCCCGCTGAGTCAGAAGCAGTGGGGAGGCGGCGGGGGATGGGGTAGGGAGGCTCCTTGTGCCAGTCTCTGATGTGAGTCTTTGATGCATCAAATAAACTGTCTTGGGAGACCCAAAGCTTCTTCCTAGATCTGCCTATCACTGCAGCACCCCCATGCGTTTTAGATCTGCTCCCAAATCATATTCCTTCCTTTGGTTCCAAAGCTTCAGAGTAGTTTGGCACCGGCTTTGTGTAGAGTACTGAGAGAAGCATCCTCTGAACATACATCACACACACACACACACACACACACACACACATACACGCACACAGAGCACTACTGCCTGCATCCTCACGGTCTGGACCCTTCTGAGGTAGATGCTCTGGGAGTAGCTGCAGCGGCTGGGGCAGAGCTGCAGGCCGTGAGCCGTGATTGTGGGGTGAGCCACCACCTGCCCAGCCACTCAGAGGTTCTCCCACTGCAGGTCCGACTCAGGAGATGAGCAGTTCCCAACCATTTGCCGTGAAGACCCGGAGCTCCACAGTTACTTCCGGGATGCCCGCTGCTCCGGGGACCAGGAGTACTTCAGCAGCGATGAGTACTACGAAGATGACAGCTCTCCGGCAGGGAGCAGGTGAGGGGCTCTCTGAGGCCTGGCCGTTTTCTGACCCATGCCCTGATGGCTTCAGGCTGCAGGTCCCCAGGGAAGCAAGGCAGGTGCGCCGATGCCAAGCCAGAGGAGAAGGTGGCAGCAGAGGAAGCTGGCCAGAGAGGAAGCTCTGCCTTCAGACCTCCTCACCTAGTTCTCCAGGGGCACGGGGATCTTGTCATGAAAACAAGAGCGGGCCTGTGTCAAGCAGGCCAACCCCTTTCCAGCCATCTCTGTCCTGTCTTCCGAGGACAGGCCCCTGAGCACTCTGGAGATTCTGGTTACACTGTGGCCAACCTACAGCTTCGGGCCAGGGATGTCTTTATGTACACTCCCACTCCCTGCTCCTTCCAGGGGTCCCCTCTGAAGATGAGACAACAAGTCTCACTGAGCAGAGGTGGCACTCCAGACATCTGTCCTGAAGATGGAAGGGGTCCCCAGCTTCTGGATACAGAGCGGGAAAGCAGACTGGGGCTGAGGCCATCAGGGTTCAGCCAACCTCCCTTTGTGAGCTGCGTGTTTCCTGGAGCAGATGGTCCCGTGAAGGGCCGATGGTTCTGCAGGTCACGGCTGGACATCTGGGCTGTTGGTGGCTTCTGTCTCAAATTCCAGCCCTCTGTGGCTGGACACTATTCCTCTCCACTCCCCATGTCCTTCCATCAACCTCTTTTTGTGCCTACCTGGTTTTCTGTGTTTCCATCTCCAAGGCCCTTATTTGTGTCCCCTCATGGACCCACCCATCAGAGGTGTCCCTCTCTGAAGCCCAATTTCACCCTCCCTCCAAGGGCCTGCCCGGAACTTGCTGCTCCTTCCTCTGGCTGGTTTGAATGTTTCTCTCATCCAGCAGGAACCATCTCTATTCCCTTCATTTCCTCTCCATCTGTGTCCCCAGTGCCCATCCCAGAGCTGGCAGAGAGCGGGCAGTCAGGGGGATTCAGTGGAGAAGTTAGTGGTGACAGATTGGCACGGAGCTAACTGCGGCTGAGACAGAGCTAAGCCTGCCCCCGAAAGGCAATCAGCAACCCCACCCCCCCCCCCCCCATTCATCACACGACTCATCCCTGAGTCCTCCTGAAACGCCTTTGCCCTCCATCTAGAAGCTTCTAGGAAGCCGAGGACTGCCTTGTCTTCAGCTGGTCTTGCTATACACACAAATGGGGGGTCAGGGTGTGATGTCAACAGCATGCATGAGCCAAGGAACAGGGAGAGGGTTTGCTAACCAGGATCGCACGGGCCCTTACTCTCCCTCTCGGCATCTTTGGCTGCCAGGCAAAGCTACGGCTACTACAACAGATACCCAGGCGGCAACCTGGACTTTGAGCGACCGCGAGGCTACCACCACCCCCAAGGATTCCTGGAGGACGACTCGCCCCTTTGCTATGATTCCCGGAGATCACCCAGGAGACGCCTGCTACCTCCCACACCGACATGTGAGGCCACCTTCTTTTATTTTCTGGAACCCTGGCTCCAGGGGAATGTGACAGGTGGAGTCCCGCCATGCCGGGGTCCCCCAGATTCCACCCCTGGCTGGAGGCCCCATCAGCTCTCCTGGCCTTCTTATTCCCGTGCGATGACGCTCAAGCCGCGTTTACATGGTTTGGACTCCATGTGAGGTTTTTGTACAGCTCGATGGGTCACAGCGGATCTGGGGCCTTGTGCATAGATGGTCCTTTTGCCTGCAAGCTGGCAGCATCAGGGGGCATCAGTAATAGGTATGCCATGCCCTCAGCGCTGCTCTACAGGCAGTCTGAACCCCAGAGAGCAGAGGTAGGGGCTAGACTTGATCCTGGCCCATTTTACAAAGCCCCCAGCTTCTGAGGGCCCTCTGAGGAGTCTTGGCATCTACCCCCATTGTCCCCCACCCCCTGGCCCCATGGCCGCTCCCCATACTTCCTCAGTTCTTCTTCCCACTCTTGTCCCTTTTCTTTCTCTCTCTCATCCTTGCCTTGGCCCTGCCAGCGCTCCCTCTCACAGGCCAGGTGGGAACCCCGAGTCCCAAGGCAGTGCCATCCTACTGGGGAGGGCAGGGGCTGCTGCCCCACTCCTGTACCCCAACTTCCTTGTGTTGGTATGGTCGGCACTTGCAGAAGGTCTGAGCCACCTCCAAGGAAGAACTGGGGCCACCATGCAGTGAGGGCCTTGCCGGCTCTGGGTGGGCAGTTTGCTTTGGGTCATGCAGACACTGGGGCAGAGGTTAGAGAATAATTTCTGGTGCTTCTGAGGAATGAAGCATGGTTTTGAGGAGGACTTTCACCCAAACCCAACAATACCCAGGACTCCCTGGCTCTGAGCCCCTCAGCTAGTCAGACGCCTCCTCTGTGGTTTGTACCTAGTTGCTCAGACCTGGCACCTGCTCTGTAAGGCCTGGGAGGCCAGACGAGAAGGTCAGGGGCCCTGCCCCAGACTGCTAGTTGGTGGCGTGTTCATGCCCATTCAATGCAGGCAGGAACTTGGGTGGGTAAGAGGGGCTTCCTCTGTCCCTGTGAAGGAAATCAAAGTGACCTCTTTGCTTTGTTGCCCCTCTACAAATCTGGGGTTGCAGCCTTCAGCCAGTGCCCTCAGGGGTGGGGGGGGGTCCCTGCAGAGCCCATGTGAGGATGGGCACACAGAGGTCCTGCTCAGACCCTCCAAAAGAGAGGGTGGAAGGTTCTTTCCTCTCCGGGTACCAAGCCTCTGACTACCCTCTGGCCACAGGTGCCCGAGGCTCCTGAGATCAGTAGCCAACCCAGACTTGCACAGTGTGTGGAGGCAGGCAGTGGAGACAGTCCCACACAGGCCGCACAGCCAGTCACCCCTGGGCCTCCTACGGCCTGTCCGCCCACACTGGCCGTGTGCCCTGTCCACCCCACCCCACTCTCATTCCAGCACTGGTCAGCCCAGGACTTGGCCCTCACAGAGCCTGGAGTCTGTACTGCATGTGCCGGCCCAGGAGACCGAGAAGGCTTCACCACATTCATCCCCAAAGTTCTACAAGGCAGCACAGTATGGAGCTTGGCCAGAACACAAGCCTTGGCTGTGCGGTGGGGTGCCAGGCTCAGAGGGGCCTGGGTATACCCTTGCCAACTACCGGGCACTCCTGTAGCAGCGTGAGCAATGGGTGGGCCTCAGTCTGAGCTTGGGGGCCAGAATTGAGGCTCTTCTCCCAGACCTGGCACCCCTCAGGACCACAAGCTTTGTGTCTGGTGTCATGGCTCAGCGCTGGCCTCTCTCCTGGGTTTCATTGGCAAGACTGTCCAGTATCAGGAGTGACAGGAGCTTGTGTTTGTCTGCAGCTCTAGGCAGAGCTGGGTCTTGGTCCTCAGGAGAAAGAGCTCCATAGCTGGATGCTTGACAGGACCGGGGTCAGGTGGCAGATGCAGGAACACGAGGGCAGATGCAGGAGCCCAGGGGACATCCCTCGAGGTGTCGGGAGGCAAGGGCAGCATCAGCAAGTGTGAAGTTCCAGAACGGAATTGTCATCCTGTGGGTTGGTCTGAAGTGCTCCATCCCACAGGGCTGAAGGCCAGGTCTGGTCCCCACTGTCCCCCTCTGTCTGTCCGCCACGGGATCCTCCCCCAACAACAGACCTTCCATGCCCGAGACCTCAACCTGCTCCTCCCCAAGGCCTCCCTGCTGGGGGTGCCACTTCCTTCCCCCCCTCCCAGGCTTCCCAGACCTCGCAGCCTCAGCCTTGGATTTGGCTGCATCCCCACCAAGGGTGTGGAGTGGGGAGGCCCCCAGCCCCGGAGTCTCTGCAGAGACATCCCCGCGTCACAGCCTCTCGTGCTCTGCTTCCCAGCCCACCGCAGATCCTCCTTCAACTTCGAGTGTCTGCGCCGGCAAAGCAGCCAGGAGGAGGCCCCACCGTCCCCCGCCTTCCCACACCGCACCGCCCTGCCTCTGCACCTCATGCAACAGCAGGTGAGCCGCCACCCTGGAGCACACTCACCACAGCCACCGGCACTGGGGCATGGAAAGGAACATCCTTCTCATACCCCCAAGTTCACCCCCAGAACCACCCGGCCAGGTAAACATGCTCTAAATCTCCTTTGACCCAAGAGCAGATTTGAAGATGGGGAAGTGATGTGCCCGAGCTCGTGAGTACCCTTGAGCCACTGGGTGCTTTGCTCCCTGGGATGCCAATTCCCATACCTGGGCACCATCTCTGCTCCCCACCTCTCTGTATCCCCCAGTCAGAGCTGGTGGAATCCTCAGCCTACACCCAGAGGCCACTGGATAGTCTCCCCACCCCCCACCCCACCACAACCTGGTTCCGGGGGTTGTACCCAGGTACTCACACATGCAAGGCATGAGCTGTACCATTGAGCCGTGCCCCCGGCCCTCACCAAGCGACTACAAACTCTCAGCACTGTCCTTTTTATTTATTTATTTATTTATTGCTTTTTGGGTCATACCCGGCAATGCTCAGGGGTTACCCTGGCTCTGCACTCAGGAATTACACCTGGCGGTGCTCAGGGGACCATATGGGATGCTGGGAATTGAATCCAGGTGGCCACACGTGCAAGGCAAATGCCTACCCGTTGTGCTATCTCTCCACCCCCAGTCAGCCCTCTCCTTGAGCTTCTTCGAGACCTGAAGGAGCTCTCTGTAGAGGTGTACCCTAAAAACATGAGTGGGTGATCTCCAGACCCCATGACTTGGAGGAAAGAGACCAACGGAGCAGGCTTTGCCCAGTGAGATCAGGGTGTGACTGGCGCACTCGCCTTGCATGTGGGGTGATCCCTGAGCACAGAACCAGGAGGAAGCCCCTGAACTTTTTTCTGGGTGTGGCCCAGAAACAAAAACAAAAAGATTCTCTCTTCTTTACCACCTGTGTACGTCTTTGCCTTTGGTCTTTAAATTCGTTTTGGGGGGCTGGAGCGATAGTGTGGCGGGTAGGACATTTGCCTTGCACGCAGCTGACCCAAGTTCAATTCCCAGCATCCCATATGGTCCCCGAGCACCGCCAGGAGTAATTCCTGAGTGTAGAGCCAGGAGTGACCCCTGTGCAACGCTGGGTGAGACCCAAAAAGCAAAGAAAAAATTCATTTTTCACTTCAGCCTGCCTTTCCCATGGCAGGACAAACCCCGGGAAGGTGCAGGTTGACAAAGGCCGTTAGCCAGCTGGCATAAAAAGTGCCATGACAGGCTGCTATGGGAGGTCTGGAAGACTGTGTCGGTCCCTATGGGAGCCTCAGAGCTGTCGTGCTGCAAATTGGGGTGAAGTAGATCCCCCTTCCCAGCAAAGGCCAGTATGTGCTGAGTTGCTGCATTAGGAAGCAGCTGCCTCCCGCCCTTCATCCCCTGCCTTTCCCCTAGTGCTGGGGCTCATCAACCTGCCCTGAATTTACCTCCATCCTGAACCCCATGAACTGGTGGCAGGTGCACCCTCCAGCACATCTTTCCTGATTGCTCGTCCTCGCGCTGAGCCACTGAGTCTGCCTTGGAATCAGCCAGGAAGTGAAAGCTGGATTGGGGGACCCAGAAAAAGCCCCACTTTGCCAGTTCCCTTCATTGCAGCCATGAGTGGTGTCCGAGTCAGGCCGTGCAGACACTGGGTCCTCTGAAGGTGGGCGGGAGGACCTGTGCCAACGGCTGCTCCCGACTTCTCCTTCCTCTCTTCTCAGATCATGGCCGTGGCCGGTCTGGATACAAGTAAAGCCCAGAAGTACTCCCCAAGCCACTCGACCCGATCGTGGGCCACCCCTCCTGCCACCCCTCCCTACCGGGACTGGACACCATGCTACACGCCGCTGATCCAGGTGGAGCGGCTGGAAGCCCTGGACCAGGTCAATGGCAGCCTGCCCTCACTGCACCGCAGCTCGTGGTACACCGATGAGCCAGGCATCTCCTATCGGACTTTCACACCAGCCAGCCTGACCGTCCCTAGCAGCTTCCGGAACAAAAACAGCGACAAGCAGAGGAGTGCAGACAGCTTGGTGGAGGCCGTGAGTATGACTCACTGTGGCGGGGGGGGGGGGGGGGGGGGCGGGGAGGTGTTGTGTGCACCCAGAGGTGGCCCCAGGGAAAGCCCTACACAGTAGGAATCAGGGGCGTTCCTCAGGGGGCAGGCTCTGGAGTTAGGTCACTTGCTTTGTGTCCAGACCCCACCTGCTTCTGAGCCCCAGAGATAATGCTTTAAGGTGTTACTTATTGAAACTGAGCATCACTGTATCACTGTATCACTGTTCATCGATTTACTCGAGTGGGCACCAGTAATGTCTCCATTCGTCCCAGCCCAGAGATTTTAGCAGCCTCTCCTTCCTCGTCTTTCCCAACGCTGCCATATTGGATGTTCTTTCAGGGTCAGGAGAATGAGATCCATTATTGTTACTGTTTTTAGGCATATCGAATACGCCACGGGTAGCTTGCTAGGCTCTGCTGTGAAACTGAACATAGGCACAAATATATGAAACAGAGTCTTCTAAATTAGCCACATCCTACTCTTTTGGGTTTTGTTTCTGGGTTGTACCCTCAAGAGACCCTGTGGTGCTCAAGATCAAACCCAGAGAGGCTGTGCTCCAACCAGCCCCTTTGCGCTCCCTCTCCAGCCCATGTTTTTAATTTGGGTGATTGATATTTTGCGGTGCTGGGCATTGAACCCAGGTCTCATGCACTCTCAAGGCATGCACTGCCCCACAGAGTCACAAACCCCCAGCCCCTATGTGTCAGCTATACCACAGGATCTGTCACTGAAATGCTTTGGCGCAGAGCATTTCCTTCTAATGTAAGTTTTGAGCTTTGGTATTTTCCAAGCCAAAGTCATATACAGTCACACTGAGATTTTGTACTAGCAGGAGGGGGCTGGCAGGCATGAGTGGCTGAGCTCCCCCACAGTGTCTGGTGCGGCCAATGCTGGTGGGACCCTTCCCATCCTCCTCCCTGTGCAAGGCCAGCTGAGGCCCTCATGGCATTCCTTCCTCTGTCCTGGACAGGTCCTGATATCTGAAGGCTTGGGACGGTATGCCAGGGACCCAAAATTCGTGTCGGCGACCAAGTACGAAATCGCCGATGCCTGTGATTTAACCATCGATGAGATGGAGAGTGCAGCCAGCAACCTGCTGAATGGGACCGTGCACAGCCGGGCCAATGGGGACGTGGGCCCCCTCTCCCGCCGGCAGGACTATGAGCTGCAGGACTTCGGGCCTGGCTACAGTGACGAGGAGCCGGAGGCCGTCAGAGAGGAGGAGGATCTGGCGGACGAGATGATCTGTATCACCACCCTGTAGCCCTGAGGCCTGGAAACAGTAGATGGCCAGGGAACAAGTGCCTCGTAATTAGGGAAGTTCAGGCACTGGCGTGGACCCTGTTCTCGCTCAGACTTTTGTGCAAGGGCCGCCGTGCCTCGAGGAAGCCATAAACCTGGTAGGGAGCATCCGCGCATGTGGCCCCAGAAGCGCAGAGCCGTGGGTCCGCCCACCAGGAGGGGACCAGCAAGGTCATCGGACAAGCCTCACCTGCTCCCCCAGAGTGCAGCGGGGGGTAGGGGGGCCGCATCCGGCCCCCCAGCGCGCAGGTACAGCGGGGAAGGGTCAAGGTGATGACGATTGCCATACCTGTGTCATTACCTCAGCCATCAGTCTAGCATATCAGACATTCACTGGGCCCAGCATATCCATTTTCAACACCCCCCCGCCCTCCTGATCCCCCAGCACACTGCTTCCTGGTTCCTGTTTAACGCGTGTGCAATGCAGTGTGTCCATCAGAACCTACCTACCAGCTGTCGTCCTGAGAGGGGCAGGACCTGATCACAGGGTGTGCGGGCAGGCGATGATGGTGCCCGCGGCCCCTGGCAGGCTGAGGGCCGCTGTGTGAACTGGAATCATCACTCACTCGCAACCAGGTCAACTCAGAGAACGCTAATTTGTTTTAAACTACAGCTTTCCTGTACAGGACTTGTAATATACTCTCATTTGTATTTGTAAAGAGATGGTCTATATTTTGTAATTATTGTACCGTATTTGAACTGCAGCAATATCCATGGGTCCTAAATAATTGTAGATCCCCCCCCACTGAAATGTAGAAATCATTCATATTTTTACGGGGGCTATACAGAAGTAGAACCAATAGAGCCCATTCTCATTCATTCTGTGAAAAAACAAAAACAAAACAAAAAAAAAACCAGAAACCTTTTGGGGGTCAAATTCTGAGTTCAAATACGACAGATATTTTTCTAAAATATGTTGGGTCACTTTAACAAGATACACTAGATGATTGTTTGCTGTATTTCCTTCGGGGCTGGGGCTCTCTGGGTTGATGCTGGGACCCCCAGATCCTCTCCTTGGTTGCGCCTACCCCTTATTTCACTCTGACTAACCCTCTGGTCCGTTCACGGCAGTCGGTGGTCAGGCTGGTTCTTCTGACCAGAGTCATTGCTTTGATTTTCTTAGTTGTCCCCATCGGACATTGTTGCATCTCAGCAGAGTAATCATCGCGTAGATGAACAAAGTACCTGGACCCTTGTCCCCTGGGGCCAGTGATGCAGCTTTTCTGAAGTAAGGAGTGCTGGGGACTGGGGACAGAGCGAGCAAAGGGAGAACCTACAGGACTCGAATGTTGGGGGCTGTACAAATCATATTGTTGCCTTTTTTTACAAAAACATTGCTGTACTGTGTAATCTCTTTGAGGGCTTTTATATGCAACTGAATGAGGGCTGACGTTTTCATTGGAATGCACTCACACCGATTGTACTTCCAGATGAAAACCCACTTTGGGATCACTCATACCATCCAGGCTTCCTTTTCTGTTCACAGAATTATGCCAACTTTGTCAAGTTACCATGGCGGGGATTCCCTGCTGTTCAAAAAAAAAAAAAAAGAATAATAACAGGTAGCAATTTGGGGTTCACAATTTTTTAATATTACATAGACAACCTGTTCCTGATTTTGTTGTTGTTGTTGTTGCTGTTGTTTGGGAGGTTCTGGGTTTTTGTTTTTGTAAATAATACCACTTTGTTATGAAGACCTTACAGACCTCTTCTTAAAACATTCTTATTCCAGATCCAAGCAAAAACACATCAAGGTTTGTAAATGACTATTTCCTGACATAACTTTTTTTTAATTAAAATGCAAAATGTTCTTCAGAATAAGTTGTGTAATAATCTTGTATTCGGCCTCATTGTCTGCCCCGAGAGCTTCAACAGGGGCCGTGGCTCAAGTTCTCCCCTCAGAGTCTCTCTCCTGCGGCTCCTCAAAGCTGCGGCAACAGCCTCCAGCGGAGTCTCGTTCCTCCTAAGGGCTAAGTTACTGGCATCTCCTCCACAGACTCTGTCTCTGCGAGGACCAGCCTGGTGACAGGCCTGAGCTCGCAGCGGACCTTTTCCCACCAGCACGTGCAAATCGGCACAGGCCACGCCACTCCCCACATCTGTCTGCGTTAAGCCTGGGTCAACCCTCCATCCAACATTAAACGTTTTCCTTTCGTTAAGAACAACTTAAAGTTGACGCCCATGTTTGGTTTGGTTTTGTTTTCGGGAAGTTTTCAGATATAATGTTTCTCCTTTTTGGTTTCCCCCATCGCCCAGAGGTTCTTGTGTTGTATCTCCAGGAATAAGACATCTAGCTTCTTCAGTCTTGCATCTGTGTTAATGTCACAGAGTGGAAATGGTAGTGCCAGTTAAACCACCCAGTATCAAGAACCTGTTTATTCTTCGTCGCTGACTCCCACCTGACAGCTGGACAATCTGTGGCCAAGAGGCGCTACCCAGTTTTGGCCTGAGATTTCAGAAGCAGCTTGGCTGGCTGGGGTGTGGGGTGGTGGGTACCGTGAGGGCCCTGGAGGTGCTTTGGGGACGGGGTTTTCCTTCCTCTTTGAACCCACACCTTGCTGACCCTGTGCTTATGAAACCAATGTATTTCATGCTTGTGTGTTTCTTACACATATTCACGTGGTTTTTATTTTTTTCATTAAGGGCTACAGGCAGCATTGTTGGGGGATGGGGGTAGGCATTCAGTGGTGCGGGTCTGATGGCTCAATACTTGGCTGCTCAGGGTCTCAGCAGCGGTGCTCAGGGGACCATGTGGTGCCAGGGGGAGAACTCAGAGTCCTCCATTGACCAGTCACATGGTCTACGGCTCAAGCTCTCTCCCAGCTCTGTCCTACCTCAGAAACAAGACTCCGGCTCTGCTTTCTCGTGCTGTAAGTTTTTATTTCTCTGCAGTGACATGTCTTCTTCCTTTGGGAGGTAAGCAAGAATGGCAGGTAGTGGGCCGGAGCCCTGGCTTTCAGCAGGGGCATGGCGTGAGGAGGGTGGTCCCAAGGAAGCTGTGGGGTAGAGGGGAGACCGTGGCACCTGCCTGGCTCTCATGACAGGGTAAGTACAGAGACCGCGCTTTACTTTTTTTTCTTTTGAGGTTCTATTTTGAAAAAGCAGAGGTGTTGGGCCACACCTGACAGCGCTCAGGGGCTACTCCCAGCTCTGTGCTCAGAAGTCACTCTTGATGACTCAGGAGAAACTCATGCAAGAGCCTGACCTGCTATACTATCTCTCCAGCCCTGCTTTTTCCCTTTTAAGAAAAAAGGATCTAGGACTCAGTCCAACGTGAAGCTGGTCAGTTGAAAGATTAAAAAAAAAAAAACGGGTTTAGCTAGAGCGGAATTTGCATTTTATGGAAATATGTTCTGACTGGAGGCAGAAAGGCTGGTACTTTGTTTAGGCATCAGAGTTCTTCCCGGAGCCTGCCCTTTCCTGGGCTCACAGCAGACAGGCTGACCTGCAGTCCTGCTGCTCCTCCCCCGCCTCCACTGGCAAGGGCCTTCTGTCGACCTAGCGGCTACTCCCTGGGCGTATTCAGAGATGCTCATGATCTTCAGAGCTTACTCTCTGGGCCGGGCTCAGCTTTTGCCATCTCTGTTCTCCCTAGTCAGGATTGCCGGCTCCATTCTCGGGTCCCCAGAGGCAGGTGCTGGCAGGTGCTCTGAGCAGCACGGCCACCTGACTGCAGCACCATGAGGTCCAGGCTTCCTCAGAACAGTGGAATTTTCCATCCAATGGTGGCCTCAGGCCATGCTCAGGGGAACCCAGCTGCAACCCCTTCAAATCAGAGTGTGCTGGGGCGGGTGCGAGTTCCAGTAACAGCCTTCCACTTTGACCTCAGCTGGACCCACATGTGTGGCACTGCTGCCCAAGCCATGTGGTGGTGAGGCATGAGCCCTGGCCAGCCAGGGGCTGGAGGTGACGGAGCTTGGACAAGAGGGGCCACTTCTAGCCTGTCCTCCTGCTTATCTCACACCACGGCCCCAGCAGCCGTCTCAGGTTGAGGAGTGCAGAGTTGGGGGGCTCAGGAGGTCTGTGATACCCCTGACCTTCACTTCTCAACCCACAGAGAGGTGGGGCTGCTCCTGTGGTTGTCCTGAAAAAGTGGGTCCCAAACCCCTTCCATGGCGGCTACAGGCCACAGCTGGGGGCGAGCCTCACGGACATACCTCATGGCCAGTCAAATTGGTTTCCTGTCTTGGCCCTCCCCTGGAGAAGAGAGACAACAGGTAAGATGAAACCAGAAGGGCCGGACAGGTGAGTCAGCAGCTGGGCACATGCCTTGCATGCGTCAGTTCACTCACCAACACTGTAGCACTGTCCTCCCGTTGTTCATTGATTTGCTCGAGCAGGCACCAGTAACGTCTCCATTGTGAGACTTGTTACTGTTTTTGGCACATTGAATACACCATGGGGAGCTTGCCAGGCTCTGCCATGCAGGCAGGATATTCTCGGTAGCTTGCCGGGCTCTCCAAGAGGGACGGAGGAATCGAACCCGGGTCACCCACGTGCATTGTTTATATAACCAGTTTCTTTTGATGGTCAGGTAGGGTTTTCCCCCCTTTATTTTAGCATGCATGGTGAACAGAGACAATTATTTTGTGGTAGTTAAATTCTTGATATTATTAAGGGCTGGAGCGATAGCACAGCAAGGTAGGGCGTTTGCCTTGCAAGCGGCCAACATGGCCGACCTGAGTTTCATTCCCCCACCCCTCTCAGAGAGCCCGGCAAGCTACCGAGAGTATCTCACCTGCACGGCAAAACCTGGCAAGCTCCTCGTGACGTATTCGATATGCCAAACACAGTAACAATTGTCACAATGGAGACGTTTCTGGACCTGCTCGAGCAAATCGATGAAAAATGGGAGGGCAGGGACAGGGACAGTGATATTATTAAACCAATATTATGATTATGCTAAATATATATATATTATTTAGAAACCAATTATTACCTATTTAAGGGGTGCACATTCAGCAGTGCACAGGGAAAACTCCTGGCTCTGCACTCCAGGATCACTCCTGGTGGGGTTTGGGTACCTTGGGGGGTGCTGGGGATTGAACCTGGGTTGACTGTGTGCAAGGAAAGTGCCCTCTGATGTATTATCTCTCCTGTCCCTATTCCCTTGTTTTGTTTTGGGGACACACTTAGCAATCTCAGGGCCTGCTCCTGGCCCTGCACTCAGGAATCACCCCTGGTGGTGTACAGGGAACCATATAAGATGCCAGGAATTGAACCTGGGTCTGCCACATATAAGGTAAGTGCCTTACCCACTGTGTTCTCTCTGGTCCCCTAATTTGCCCAATTTTTAATCTTTGCTTTCTTGGCTGTTGTTTACTGAGAGCAATAGTGAAGTTTGTATTGAGGGTAATATTTTGCAAATATGCATCAGCGTATCTGCAGTCTCACTTAACTTACCTTAATGTGGGGCTGGAGCAATAGCACAGCGGGGAGGGCTTTTGCCTTGCACACAGCCGACCTGGGTTCGATCCCTGGCATCCCCTGTGATCTCCTGAGCACCTCCAGGGGTAATTCCTGAGTGCAGAGCCAGGATTAACCTCTGAGCCTCGCCGGGTGTGACCCAGAAAGGAAAAACAAAAAACAAAACAAAAAAAAAACCTTAGTTTAATGTTCACTTGGACTGGAGCGATAGCACCAACACTATCCAAAAATAAATTTTAAAAAAATGAGAGCTCCCTAAGAATATTAAAGGCAGGGGAGGGAGTGACTTTTTCCTTCTCGATGCCTCTCTAGAAGGTCTTGCTCAGAAACGGAAGCAGTGATGCCTCAGAAACTGACTGCAGTGATGCCTCCAAGCCACCATGATCCACGGGAGAGGGTGGGGATGCCTAAAGTGCCCCTGCTCCTCCTCTGCTGCTTCGGGGCTCTGTGCTACAGATGTTCACCCTTCAGCTCTCTCGGTCCCCGCCAGCTGCAGAGAAATCCACCCCAAATCCACCCCGCACCCATTACCTTTAGAACAGTGGAGATGAAGTATCTCACTGCAAACTCCAGTCACTGGGTTCTGTTAATCAGTCATAAGAAGTTTAAGGATCACAACGCTGTTATAAATAATGCTACTTAAATGTTCCTCGCCCCTCAATAAAAACCAGCCATTCGACTCTATTTTACTTTCTCGGTTTATTTCCCTTCCACTCAGCTGCATGTGTGCAGGCACTGGCGCAGCCGTGCCTCTCCCTGGGACTTGGCACCGTCCCGGTCTCTTCCCGTGGACATCAAGAGAATAAGAATGAACCAGCCCCTGTCAGCTGCGCGGGGTCTCCCTTGGCGGAGAGGAGGCGCCCCGCCGACTGGCTGCTTCTGTTTGGAGTGACAGACTGGTATGTGGGATTGGCACTGGGGCTCGGGGTTCCCTGGGAACGGGGCGAGCACTGGAAATGTTCCATTGTGAGCACTGTGGAGGTGAAGATGAAGGTCCAGAGATGCTTCCCAGGCAGGAGAGTGTTTCATTAACTCTGGAGTGCTTGGGTGGGGCAGGGGGGGGGGGGGAAGGGGGTGCTTTGACCGAATAGCCCCTGTGCCTGCCTGCCTCTGGTGAGGGCAGAAGTACGACGGAAGGAATCAGCCGTTCCTCCTGCCATGGGCATTTCTCTGAGCACCAGTGCCAGTGCGACGTGTGGCCTCAACTCCGGGTCACAGCCTCGTGTGGGGGCTGCAGCCTCGGGAAGGCTTTGCACCCCGGGTACAGCTCCCTCTGCTCTGAGGGAGACCTGGCAGGGAGCCACTTCCCCACATCCAGGCTGTACCCTGGAGTGGGGGACACCACGGGATACAGGAAAAGACCATGGTCAGTGCCCATGCCCCCGGTCAGCTTCTCCTCCCACTGTGGTCCCCTCCAGGAGGCAGGGGGAGGAGACCCAGGCCAGAGTGCCAGTCCCCCCTGCCTCTACCCAGGCCTACAGGGAGAGGCTGGCAGAACACTGATGCACTGACCAGCTGACCGTCTGGTTTCCTACCAAGTCCCCCAGGCCAGCGCTATGGAGTCTTAATGTCCTAGATGGGGGCCGCCAAGCACACTGGGAGCCGTGCCAGCCCGGGCTCCCAGGGGCCTTCAGGAACTGAGATGGTCAACGCTGGGTGGCCAGAGTCCCCGGCTTGTAGACAGGGACGTCCTTGTCCCACAGGGCAGGCTGCCCCTTAATGATGTCAGCAGCCTTCTCCGCAATCATGATGGTGGGGGCGTTCAGGTTGCCGCTGACCACGCTTGGCATGATGGACGCGTCGACCACCCTGAGGTTTTCTACCCCGAGGACTCTGGTCTGCGGGTCTACCACCGCGGTGGGGTCGGAGGGCTGGCCCATCTTGCAGGTGCACGAGGGGTGGTAGGCGCTATCTGCCTTTGCCCGCACAAAGGCATCAATCTCTTTGTCCGACTGGACGTGGCTGCCAGGCTGGAGCTCTGGCCCCCGGAACGGTGCCAGGGCTTTCTGGGCAAAAATTTCTCGGGTCAGCTTCACGCACTGACGGAAGTCCTTGATGTCAGCTTCTGTGGAGGAGCAGAAACAAAGGAGCCTTAACTGGACGGGTCTCAGCAGGAAGTGGCTCTGGGGAAACGGGCAGGGAGCTCTGTGCCACTGGGACACTTGCTCCCTCCCCAGAGGACTCTAACAAGAGCCGAGGACCAGGGTAACTGCAAAGCAGCAGTGAGACCCAGCTCTCCGTGGCGTGGGTGGGAGTGGGCTGGCTAGCTGTAAACTGAGGGTAAGAATTTGCATGCTCTGGTGCCTGAGAAAGAGCTCAAAGGGCTTTGCAGGCAGGAGCCTCCTGGGGTTCAATCCCTGGTACCCCAGACCCCTCCCCAGCACAATGGGGCTGCTCCCCAGGAAAGTATAGACGCACCATGCCTCTGCCTGGCTCCTAGCACCCCTGAAGTCAGTACTGGGCCAAGCGTGCCTGCTGAGGACCTCGCCTTGGCTGCGGCACAGAGGCCGGCCCAGCCCAGGAACGTGACTTCCTCTTGGGAGCTGCTCAGCACAATGGCAGGAAGGGCCTCGCGCCCCACCCCCCAGCACACCCCTCCTGGGAGACGGGGCTGATGGTTCAGGATAGGGTGGCTCATGGCACCTTGGAAAAGGTGGCCCAGGAGTAAGATGTGCGGGCAGATATGAGCTTGAGAAGGCATTCAGTGAAGGCCCCAACTGGCCTGGGGGAGCGGGATTGGGGGGCTAATAAGAGGAGGAGGGAGGGTAAAGGGGAAGGGGTGAATTACCTGTTGACAAGTAGTTGGGCTGGATCACAGGGTGGTCTTGGGGGTTGGTGCTTCTCAGTTTGAGCCAGCCCACACTCGTGCCCCGCATGGTCCCCACATGCACCTAAAGGACCCCAGAGGCAGCAGTGAGCTCCCCAGCACCCAGACGCTTCGCAAGGCCCCAGTTTCCTGCCGCCCCCCCCCCCCCAAGCCACCTGCCCTGAGCTGGGTGCCGGGCACCCTTTTCCATGCTTCACTCTGCTCCTGGGTCTGCCCGGGGGAGAATCCGGGGGACAGGTGGGGGTACCCCTGCAGACAGAGGTGCTGGCCAGGAGGGCAAGGCCCCGCTGCTCACCTGGTAAGCCTCCTCTCGGGTGGGTGCCCGCCCATGGTCAATCACTTGCGAAGGCAGGAAATGGAACTGGATGTCCGGGTGGGAGACCCCGGGCTGGCTGCGGATGAAGCCACCCGTCTCCAGGTGGGCCGTGGCTCCGTCCCCTAAGGATGGGATGAGCGCAGAGGTAGGAGAGCAAGTCAGGGCTGGCGGCCTGTCCACGCCTGGTTCTCCCCTTGTCCTGGGCAGCTCCTCAGAGCCTGGACCAAGCCCCACGCCCCACCCCCCTCCTTTAGCCTCTTTCCCTCAGAGAATGGGTCTGCTGCCCAGCACTGTCTGCGGCCTCAAGCAGAGAAGCCATAGAGTCACCCTCTCCTGACTGCACCCTGCCAACTCACGAGACTCTGTGGCACCGTCATTGCAGACCTCACACAGGCCCCTGGCTGCTTGCGGGCCACCCACCACCCACACTGTTCCTCTCCCTCGGCGCTCCAGTCAACCCAACCCTGCTACCTCATCACCCACACTGGCCACAAGAGCCACCACGGCCTTTCACCCCTAAATCCGCCTCGAAGAATCCTCCTTCTCAGCACTGACCCTGCCCACTGCCCTGCAGGCCCAGATTATTTGGGGCCAGGGGTGTGGGGGCTGGGGGGGGGGGGGGGGAGAAATACTCCCAGTGGTGCTGAGCTGGCAGGGATTAAAACCCAGAACCTCATACCTGGCAAGGCATGTGCTTTACCTCCTGAGCCCCATACATGGCAGTGCTCAGAGCTTACTCCTGGCTCTGCACTCAGGGATCTCTCCTGGTGGGGTTCAGGAGTACGGGGTGCCGGGGATAGAACCTGGGTCAGTTGTGTGCAAGGCCAGTGCCCTAAGCTGCTGTGCTATTTCTCCATCTTCTATCAGTTCTGAAGTTACCCCTGCAGGGATTCCTAGTTCGGCTCTACCCTCCCCCCCTAGCCTGCCCGCCTCTGCCTCTGCCTCAACTTCCTCTTCTGCGTGCAGCTCTCCCCAGCCCACCAGTACATTATTCAAGCACTCCCGTGCCTCGGCACCCATCCCCCCGCTTCTCAGCGTCTCTGCAGCTGTCTCCCCCTCACTGTACACTTACTTGCTTTTGGTTCCGTGCCCCGACTGGAGTGAACACTCCCCGGTGACCCTGCCTCACGGGCACATCTCCCCATCTAGACCCACCCAAGCTAGTTGTGGAAGGCAGATACTGCATGAGCTAAAAGGATGTCAGAGCATTTTGCCAGGCTCAGACAGTGCTCTGAGCACCTGCTGAGTACTGAATGCTGCCTGGGATGCTGAGCCAGCACCAAGAATAGATCCCCTTTGTGCCTCCTCTCCTAGCATCTTGGACACCACACGAGAGCCAGTTACCAGGCTGTCCTGGCTCTGTGAGCAGGAGCAGCCCCGAGGCCCTAGAGAGTGCCATGCCAGGGAAGGGTCTAGTCCTCACACCCACCCAGCAGGCACAAACTGAGTGTCCCCATTTTACAGATGCAGAAGACCGAGGCTCACAGAGCTTAGCTTTGAACTAACTGACAGCAGGGTCCTGCTGGGCCCCTGAGGAAGGTGGCAGTGCGGCCCTCAGCCCCATTCTTGCCAAGACCATGGATGAACACACTCACCTGTGAACTTCCAGAGCCATTCCAGCCCGATTCGAACCTTGTTCAGAGGCTTCTGTGCCGAGTGCAGGGTGATGGGCTGGGTGCAGGCCTGCTGGATATAGATCTCCAGGTGGTCCTGCAGGTTCTGGCCAACTCCTGAAAGGGCAGGGAGTGGCTAAGAAGCCTCACCACACTAGAGGGCCCTGGGGACCCTCTCAACATCCCCCTTCCCCCAGTTGTGCAAATTTCTTCAGACCAGCGTTGGCCTGTTCCTCTGACCTCGGCTTCAAAACCGTCTGCCCAGGGCCACCACTCACAGCTAGTCTCAGAGGACACAGACACCGGGCTCCATCCATGGGCACTTCCTGTACCCAGCCAGAGGCGTGCCCTTCACCCGGCAAGATGGCACACCTGGCTCCTAGAGCCCGAGCTGAAGAGGGCTGGTGGGTTGGGCGACAGCCAGGCCCTCAGCACAGACAGGATGGGGACACAGACACCCCATATCCACCATCCAGGGGAGGTTGTGCTTGGGGTCCAGCCCACATATCACGTGCCTCAGAGGACGCCCCCAGGTCCAAGGGCCCAGGCCTTTGGGTGAGAAGGAGGGCCAGGTCCTGAAAGGTATCGGAAGTGCTTAAGCAAATAAATTTTGGACCTGGGAGAATTTTCCATGTGCCAGCCAGGCTCTGGCAGCAGTGGTGTCCTGAGAGGGGAACTCTGATGGCCTGGACTCCCTCGTCCACAGCATTGCTGCAGGACCAGCGGCTGCTGAGTGGGGATATGTGGCCATGGGTATGCTCTCAGAGAGACAGGCCAGGGCGGGTGGGAAAAGCCATGCAATGAGCCAGGGAGTGAAGCATCCAGGGGGTGCAGCTGGACTCGGGGCTCAAGGAAGGTCAGGACAACTGGAGCCGGCTGCGGGGCTTAGCTGAGCCAGGCTGCAAGCTCACCAGGGAGATGGCACACAACAGGGAGGCCCAGCTTCTTGAGGTCATCCGCGTTGCCCACGCCGGAGAGCATGAGCAGCTGCGGGGAGTTGATGGCACCACCGCTCAGAATCACCTCCTGGCTGGCGTAAGCCTGGAAGCAGGAGGAGACCGTGCAGGTGATCTTTCCTGTCCGCCCCCGCCCTGCACACCTCTCCTACAGCCAGACTCCCCAGCAAGTGCCTCCTCTGACATCTCCAAATGGTGCGTGAAGATCTCGCCGTGAGGGTGCCTGACATGTTCCCTGCTATGCAGCCAGACTTGGAGACTCCAGGGAAAATGGCACCGGGGTGGGGCTGGGAGACAAAATTCAGGGATCCGCAGTTTTAAGGTGGTGCAGCCTTATTTGTGGAATATAAAATAACAGAATGGGAGACTAACACCCAAGGGTAGTAGAGATGAGTACCAGGAGGATTGCTCCACGGCTTGGAAGCCAGCCTCACATGCTGGGGGGAAAGGCAGTTCAGATAAAGAAGGGAACACCAAGTAAAGGGTGCCTGGAGGGCCCTCTCGGGATGGGAAATGCGGGCTGAAATTAGACTACAGGCCGAACAAGATGGCCACTTGATACCTCTACTGCAAACCACAACACCCAAAAGGAGAGAGAGAACAAAAGGGTGGGGGTGGGGTGGAGGAGATGGGATGGGGGTGGTGGGAGGGATGCTGGGACCATTGGTGGTGGAAAATGGGCTCTGGTGGAGGGATGGGTACTCGATCATTGTATGACTGAAATTTCATTCATTTTTCATTTCATCATCCTGTTATTCGTCGATTGCCTCGAGCAGGCCCCAGTAACGTCTCTTTCATCCTAGCCCTGAGATTATATTCAAGGCTCTTTAGGAGAATGAGACCCGTATAATCCCATCAACGGCCAAGACTCAGAGACTATAAAATCCAGCTCCCGGAACCGCGTGGCCGCATTTGTGGCCGCGTGACATCTTATCAGGACATCTTTTTTGTGCCATCTTATTATCTCATTCCTACTTTGGACAAACTTGCAGGCTATCGAATGTAGCCTGCCCACAGGGCAGAGTCTGGCAAACTCCCCGTGGCGTACCAAATATGCCAAATACCAGTAACAATGATGGGTATGACTAAAATGCAAGCACAAAAGTTTGTAAGTCTGTAACTGCACCTCACGGCGATTCACTAATAAAAATTTAAAAATAAATAAATTAATAAAAATAAATAAAGGTGGTGCAGGGCCCTGTATAGCGAAGCATTTCACTGAGGCATGTGAAGCCTCTAGTCTACGCAACCCCAGTTCAGAAGTGGTGGAACGGCAACTCTAGGGGTGCTCTGCGGCCGGGGAGAGAAGGCCCTCCACTAGAGGGAACGGGTGGGGGGGGCGGGGGGAGGTCTGTGCATGCGTCTAGACTGTGGTCTTCCTTACCATCTACAGGTCGCCACCTTCTGGGTGGCCCTGGGGACAGTCAGACCCTGCCACCGATCTGGGGGTTGTCCCAGTGTGCTGGTATGTGAGGCCACGCCTCCTGCCCTCTGTCCCCTGTGGGGTGCTCACCTTGTGGCTCTGGCCATCTTGGACATACTCCACGCCCACGGCGCGGGTGCCTTCGAACAGCACCCTTCTCACCCAGGCCCTGGCCTCGGCCCTGAGGTTGGAGCGGCTCAGAGCCGGGTGCAGGTATGCACAGGCTGCGCTCCACCGTTTGCCTGCAAATAGAGTAAGGAGATGTGGCGCCATCTTGTCTCTGGTCTCTGAGGCAGGCAGAAGACAGGGAAAGCTGGAGGAGATTCACGCTCATCCTCCTCTAAACAGTGCAAGCTCCACCCTTAAGGCAACTGGGAGTCCCAAAGACTTTGCCTAGTGGAAATTCCCTTAGCTGAGGGCCCCTGTCTGCAGGACACCCCTCCTGCTGGGAACAGCAGTGGAAACCCTGGTCCAGCTGCTCTCCTGTGGCTGTAAGCCCTGCCCTCTGTTGCTGCTCTGTGCCTCAGTTTCCCCACCAGCAGGCCTCTGGAGGACCTGAGCCCTTTGTCAAGACAGCAGACTCTCCACCAGTCACAACAGGGGGACCAGGCAGGGGTTTGCAAAGGCCATGAGATGCTAAGTCATTTCTCACTGGCTTTGGTGTGCAATGCGGTGGCTCTTGTGGGTACAGCATGTCACATCCCTTCAACTTCCTTGATGGGAACAGAGGGGATGGGCTAGAATAAAGAATAGGGATTTGTTCGGGTTTTACTGGGAGCTCTTTTTCCCCCCTGGATTTATTTTTTGTTCACTACCCAGCAGTACTCAGGCAGGCTCACTCCTGGTGGGCTCCACTCAGGGGTGGAGGGGGTGCCAGGGGTCAAACCAGGTTGACCACATGCAAGACAAGCACGCTACCCACCATCCTATTGCTCGAGCCCCAGAATAGGGTGTTTTTGTTTTGTTTGTTTATTAATATAGGGGTCTCCCAGGTTGTTCTGGGGAAAGTGGAGCTCATACAGTCACTGGGATAGATAGAATCCAGGGCCTCCTGGATGCATGACTCACTGGGCAAACACATGCCTTGCATGTGAGAAGTCCTAATTTAGATACACACACACACACGCACGCACGCACGCACGCACGCACACGGCTCCCAAAGGAAGAAGGCGGCAGGAGTTGAGGGTATGAGTCGCTGTCCCCTACCTTTGTGGATAGTCATGTCCATCCAGCCAAAGCCTTCCTGCTGGAAGCCGTTCATGTCCTCGGTGAAGGGGTAGCCGGCCTGCTGTGCTGCCTCCAGGAAGGCCTGATGCAGAGGGTGGTTGGTCCGGCCCCGGGACACGTGCAGGGGCCCGTGGCCGCCGCGGTAGGTGTCAGCACCCAGCTCATGGGCCTGTGCCTTCCGGAAGTAGGGCAGGCAGTGGCCATAGTCCCAGCCGTCGGCGCCCTCCCGCTGCCAGCGCTCATAGTCCTCAGCGTGCCCACGGATGTACACCATGGCATTGAGGGACGAGGAGCCACCCCACACCCGGCCCCGTGGCCAGTACATCACGCGGCCATCCATGCCAGCCTGTGGCTCCGTGTGGTAGTACCAGTTGTACTTGTCATCGCACAGGTTGGCCACAAGGGCTGCGGGCATGTGGATCTTCCACAGGAGCCGCTTGCTCCCGGCGTACGTGTCCTTGGGCCCTGCCTCCAGCAGCAGCACACGCTTGTCGGGGTCCTCTGTGAGCCGGTTGGCCAGCACACATCCCGCAGAACCCGCACCCACCACCACGTAGTTGTACTCGTCTCTGCCCCGGGAGACCCCGCTGGCCAGGGCGCGAGTGCCCTGGAGCCACTGTTGCTGGCTCACGACTCCCCACGCGCCCAGGCCTCCTTGCCGCCAGCTTCGCAGGATACACCACATGCTTCTGGCCACGTCCTCCTAGGTCCACCCGAGGAAGGCGATGAGGTATTTTCCCTGCAACAGGAAAGGGGCTTTACAAACCGTAACTCAAGGCCAGGGAGGCCAGGGAGCATGCAGACAAACCCAATTCTGTTTTTATTGTTTTGTTTTGTTTTGCTTTGTTTTGTTTTGGTAGCGAGGGGCACACCCAACAGTGCTCAGGGGTTACTCCTGGCTCTGCTCTGGCTCTGCGCTCAGGAATTATTCCTGGCGGTGGTCTGAGGACCCCATGGGATGCCTGCAAATAGAATAAGGAGATGAGGTGAGATGAAGAGAGACGTTCCAACCCCAGCACGTAGCAACGCCCTACCTGCTATACTCTCACACTGACCCTAACCAACCCCAGCTCGATCCCGGCACCACAGAGGATTCCCCCAAGCACTGACAGGAGTGCTCTCTGAGCACAGAGGCAGGAGTAAGCCCAGGAGTAAACCCAGGAGTAAGCGCAGTGGCCCACCCCTCACCCTAAGTCCCCCAAATAAAGAAAAACATCTGAACACGGCCTGCACACTGCACAGTCTGCCAACAAGGAGGCTGCAGACCCAGTCTGCTCTCCCACTCTGGGTAACAGGGAGGAGGAGCCAGTAGAGTGCTAGCCCTGCTTGACCTGGGGCTGCAGCAGGAGAGATTCCCCCCAAAACTTGGGAGGGAAACCCAAAAAAAAAGGCCTTGGTGCATGACCAGGAGGCTGGGCAGGAGTCGGTGTGCTGGAAAGCAGGAGAGATAAAGGCTGTCAGAGGGGAGAGGAAACTGCGAGCTCACACTTATTCCCCATCTGCCCTACAGCTGATGAACACTGATTCATCTCCAACAGGGAACAGGACATCTGCCCTCAGGCTGGCTGCTCTGGGGCCAGGGAGACAGACTGCAAAAAGGAACTGCAGACAGTGGGAGTCAGAGACTGGACACGTAAAGAGTTCAGAGTTCTTGATCTGCAGGCCAGGCTCTGGAGAGGGCTTCCCACAGGAACCGGGGTGAGAACTACAACCTTCTAGTCTGTGAATGCTGGGATCATAGCACAGAAGTGCTGACAGCTTTTTAAAATCCAGAAACAAGCCCTCAGATATATGGACAGTTAATTTATGGCAAAGCAACCAAGCACATAAAAAGGAGGGAGATAAGTCTCTTCAATAAAGACTGTTAGGAAAATGGGATAACCATATTGGGGGAAAAAAACTGAAATTCGGCAGCTGTTGCCACATTATGCACAAATGCTAACTCAAAATGTATTAATTAATGGGTTAGACCCAACTCCATAAAATCCATAGAAGAATATATAAGTAAACACTCCATCACATTGACTTCAGTGGTGTCTCAGGTAATTTGATTCCATTGGCAAGGAAAATAAAAGCAAAAATAAATGATTTAAAACAAGCTGAAAAGCCTAATCACGTTAAAAAAACACAATTAGAATTATTAAAAGTAGCACTGTAGCACTGTCCTCCCATTATTCATCGATTTGCTTGAGCAGGCACCAGTAACATCTCTATTGTGAAACTTGTTGTTACTGTTTTTGGCATATCGAATAAGCTATGGGGATCTTGCCAGTCTCTGCCATGCGGGCAGGATACTCTTGGTAGACTGCCGGGCTCTCTGAGAGGGACGGAGGAATCAAACCTGGGTCAGCCACATGCAAGGCAAATGCCCTTCCCGCTGTGCTATCGCTCCATCCCAGAATTATTAAAAGTAGGATAATAAAAGATACCCTATTTAGTGAGAGAAAAGTTTCATATTATCCATCTGATAAAGTGCTAACATCCAAGAGATGTATAAAGATATACTCACAAAACTCAAAATCCAAAGCCATTTAAAAAATGGATCAAACAGGGGCTGGAGCGATAGCACAGCGGGTAGGGCGTTTGCCTTGCACACAGCCAACATGGCCGACCCAGGTTCGATTCCCAGCATCCCATATGGTCCCCCGAACACCGCCAGGAGTAATTCCTGAGTGCATGAGCCAGGAGTCAGCCCTGAGCATCACCGGGTGTGGCCCAAAAAGAAAAAAAAAGGATCAAACAGCCAGGTGCTTCTTCAGAAAACACGTAGAGATGGCCAACACACACATGAATAACTGAAGAACCCACGTATCATAGAGATATACGTTTGGAAACAACCCAAGAATAGATGAGTGGATAAAGAAATTGTGGTATATCTACACAATGGTGTATTATTTAACTATTAGAAAAGATAAAATCTTGCCATTTGCTACAATATGGGTGGCACTGGAGAGATTATTGCTAAGTGAATGAAGCCAGAAGGAGAATGACAAGCATCAGATCTCACTCACATGTGGTGTGGTATGTAGAAAAATGAAAATAGACAAAGCCCAATAAGATCAAGTCTGGTACTCTCATAACAGAATTGACTGTGATCTCTGGTGGTCAGTATGGCGTGGAAACAGTGTACATCTTCGCAAACAAAAGTTATCTCAATTTTTTAAAACTAGACAAATAGGGGCTGGAGTGATAGCACAGCGGGTAGGGCATTTGCCTTGCATGCAGCCAACATGGCCGACACAGGTTCGATTCCCAGCATCCCATATGGTCCCCTGAGCACCACCAGGAGCAATTCCTGAGTGCATGAGCCAGGAGTAACCCCTGAACATTGCCGGGTGTGACCCAAAAAGCAAAAAAAAAAAAAAAACCTAGAAAAATAATGGTGGCTAACATATTGAACAGGTCATTTAACAACCAAAAGATCAACAGGGCTGAGGAGATGGTTCAAAGAGCTTGAGTATCTGCTTAGCATGCAGGGATGCCCTGGTTTAATTGCAAACACCCTCTGGTCCGCCTGGCACTTCCAGGAGTGACTCTGAGCATCATCAGATGTGGCATCCTTAGAACCAACCAAAAAAGATAAGCATACGTTGTTGTATGAAAATAACTTTCCTGGATATAGCAGAGAATATTAGCTGAATATTCACCTGAAACTGAATAGACTCTTAGTAGAAATTGTCCAAATGGAAATACAAGAAGAGTGAAAGAGGGAGAAAGAATGACTCTGAAGGTATCACACAGAATCAAACCATGTAATGATGATGGGAATCCTGGAAGAAAGGGGACAAGAAGAAGAGGTAAAAGAAGAGAACAGAGAGTAGGGGAAGGAACATATCTGAAGTGAGACTTTTCCTAAGTTAGCACAGGATAAAGACAAAAAACACAGGTATATCAGAGTCCAATTTCTGAGATTCCAAGACACATAAAATGAAGATAGTCACTTCAGGTGCCAGAAATAGCGCTGGGGATGTGCTTTAAATGGTAGAGCCTGGGCCTCAGGGCCCCACGCATGCATGGCCCTGCATTGCATGGCCCTGCATTCAATCCCTGACACTGAGCACTGAAAATGGACATATGCAGAGGAATGAATACAGAGGCGATGGCAAGTATCCCATCAGAAAACAACCCAGAAGATGATGGAGTACAACTTTAAGTCTTCAGGGTTTGACAAACAAGTACTAAGTCTAGAAATCTCTGAACACAGTGAATATGTCTTTCAAAAACGCTAACAAAAAATAAAGACATCTTCAGGGAAACAAAATATGAGAGCATCTGCCTGTTAAAGGCAGCTCCAGGCAAAAGGATCAGGAAGCCAGAGAGAAACTTCAACCCATGCAAAGAAATGAAAAATGAAAGCGATAAACATATTTATGATATATTTATTTCTTAGTGTCTTCTCTAACAAATATGGTGGTTGAAAAACAAATGTCAGGACTCAGGGATTGCTCAGTGGTAGAGTAGTTAGAGCAGTGTCTTGCTGGTACATGTGAAAGCAGGAGTCACGTGCACAGCACTGCCCCACATATATCCAATGCCACCTGGCAGCTTGGCCCTTGGTAATTTCAGGGACCACAGCAAAGTCTGCCATCTTCAGCACACTGCAACCAAGCATGAGTGACCTCCTGCCATCACAACAATGAAAGAAGTGGGTTTGGACAGATAGTTCAGGGGTTAAGGCTTGCCCTGCTTGCATCTGACCCCAGTTAAATCCCCAGCACCACGGGCAGCCCTAGGGGTCCCCAAAGCATCACAGGCCTGAGCAGCATCACATATTCAAACCCTTGCACGAACCATGGGCACAGTTAGCCAAGCAGAGGGGACCAGAAAACAAAACAGAATAAAAAAATACGAGGGGCGGCGGGCAGGAGGGAAGGGGGCAATGGGTAGGTTGATGTGAATAAAATAAATCTATTGGAATTGGTAAGTGAATTTATCAAGGTCATAGACTACAAAGTCAACTAGAGAATCCAGGTGCTATGTATGTGCAAGAGCACCAGGAGTAAGCGGTGTCAGGTGTGGCCCAAACCTCCCACCTCCCACCCCAAAAATTTCACTCTGTATGGGTCAGAATGATAGTACAGTGGGTAGAACACTTTTCACTTTTCCTATATGCAGCTAAACAGCCAGGAGTAAGCCCGAGCACTACTGGGAATGGACTCCCCCGGTCCCCAAAAATAAAAGCCAGTTGTGGTTTTACATACTAGAAATAAAGAACAGGATTTTAACATACGAAATTAATAACATGCTTGAGACCTGTATTTTTTGTCCAGCTTTTTGGGTCACACATGGTGATACTCAGGAGATACTCCTAACTCTACACTCAGGAATTACTCCTAGTGGTGCTTGGAGGACATATGGGATGCTGAGGATCAAACCTGGGTCAGCTGCATGCAAGGCAAACCCCCTACCTGCTGTACTATCGCTCCAGCCCGGAGGCCAGTTTTGATATTTAGCAGCTTTCATTTCCATACCGCATTCTTGTTTCAGACAAGTCAATTAGAAATCTGGCATTTCTGTCCTTACTGGCAGTGAGAAAGTTCAAATCAGTTAACTCCAACCCACAATAGGAATCTTCACCTTAGCGCCACCACTCCCCACCCCCAACCATCACAACTGGAACTCCTAGCGCTTCTTTACATTCAAGCTGTTCTGGAACTGTTTGCATGCCTGCCCTTTTCTCCCCAGAAAAGCACATCGTGTTAATAGTCAACCTTTTCATAGACTCTTAGTAAATGTGTG